GAAGAAGTAAGTTCTCTGCCTCAGGGAACAAGGATCACATCACTTTGCAGGTGAGTGCAGACTGAAGCATCTCAGAGTTTTCAAAAAAGGCCAAATGAGCAGCCCAAGCTCCCAGTATAGTAGAAGGAAGGGAAAACCAGTAGTACCTGGTTGAGGTGGCTTTTCTGGAGGGTCGTTTCTGGAAATTCCAGTAACCCCCTCTTACGGTACTTCCCTGCTGCCCCTTCTTCCCAGATCTGAGTTCCCCCAGAAGTATTACTGGTGGTTCTTCCAGACTGTGCCAGGTAAGTTTTTCTTGCCTACATGGTAAGAATTTCTGTCCCAGCCTCTGGGTTCTGGCTGCTGTTGCAGCAGCCCAAACTCCATCTTTCACAAAGAAATATGCTCTGTCCTTAAGGACTCTCCTGGTGATAGGAGATCCTGCAATCTCGATCTTTCTCTCAGGAGCCTGGCTATGATCCAACTGGTATGGTGTGGTAGGTTATCTTTCTGTGTGGGAGTGGACTTCCCCACAATACACACCTACCCTGACAGGGGCCTTGAGCAATCCTTTGTCCCAGACACCTGGAGGAGGAACCAGGCTCTTTATCAACCCAGACAAAGGCCCACCTTGTAGTCTGTGTTGACAAGGGCTATTTAGGGGCATTTTCTAACTCCACATAATCACGCATTTTAAAGCTATTAGCTGTGAAGCTCATCAAATTCTTCTTGAACCTATTTGTTTTCAGTCTCTTCCCTCCTTGGGGTAGCATATTTCCTTACATGCACTTCTGTCTGTGAAACATAGCTTTTTTTCCCACCTTAATCCTAAAATGATCCTCTTTGAACTTCAGAGGGTTCCACTAATTCCTGTGCTCTGGGATTTAGAGGATAAAATTGTATTCGTGCTTTCCTCTCCTTTCAGGACTTTACAGGCTTTGGTTAGATCCCTTCTTAACCTTTGCTTTTTCAAACTGTAGGGCTCTGATCTTCTAATTTCTGCCTCTCTTCTCCCTGAGCTCTCCAGGAGTCATTCTTTCCCTAGGTTTCTCCTTCCCTCCCAGCAGCCCAGCTCCCTGAGTTGCTTCAGCCAGATCTGAAGTCCTTCCCGGGTTGGGAGTGGGTGCATCAGTGATAGTGAGCAGGGATGGTCCCACTCTCACTGACTGCTCAGTGGCAGTGGCATGTTCATGCTGCGTGCTGCGGTGGCCCAGTGGTGAAGCAGTGCAACAATTCAGACCAAGTTTTGACCTAGTGAGAGCAAAACTTGGTATTTCCAGCATCTAGCCCAGAGTAGAGGGCCCATGCCTCCAATCCATCACCATATTATTTATGTAAAGCTCATGGTGTGCCAGGCCCTCAGGATTCAATGGTTAACTAGCTTGCCCTGACTCCTTCTCTTTTGAATCTGAGGGTCAAGAAAGTGACAGACATGAAACAACAAAGACACAAATGCTTAAAAAAATAATGACAGTGTTGACAAGGGCTCTGAGGGATCAGTAAAGTCTGTGACCAAATATATGGGGGTGGAGAGAGACAGAAGAAGATGCTGAGGCTACCCTGCTGCAATGCCAGGTGACCTGGACCTCAGGAAGTCTCAGAAAAGCCCCCCTTTTCCTTTCACCCCTAACTCCACAGGCCTCACGGGAGTTATGCTGCTCCTGGTGCTGGCCATCATGTATGTGTTCGCCTCCCACCACTTCCGCCGCCGCAGCTTCCGGGGCTTCTGGCTGACCCACCACCTCTACATCCTGCTCTACATCCTGGTGAGGACAGCTGGCGGGGAGTCAGGCCAGTGGGGTCTGGGCTGGACATTCCCAGGGAGGCGGTGAAGACCGGGACATCACTTCTCCCTTCCTTTAACTATGCCAAGTACACTTTGACTCTTCTACAGCCTTCTTAACAGAGATTAATGTGAGACTGGCTGATAGGCTGACCTCAATAAGAAGCACTTACAACGATGACTCCCTGGTATGGGATTTGCAGTAGTAGCCCCACCAGGCTGATTGACATTCCTTACTGATAACCCCACATTATTTCTGCACAGCCAGTCATTCTCTACTTTGGATGGCTGGTTTTGGCTCCTAGGTAGACCTCTTGTACTTAAGGGAGCATCACTCTTTTTAGAGGAGCATAGCTCAAGCCAATTTGCAACTTAATGTTCCCATATGGCTTTCCAAGATACCAACTGTCCTCCTTGTTTCTCCTTATCTTGTTCTTCTGCTTCCCTTCCTTCACTTTCCCTTCATTCCCCTCTCTGTTCCCCTCATCCCTTTCCTAGGTTTGTCATCAGCTGCTTCAGCTGATCACTTCTAGAACAGAGTCTGAGATCTGTGCTTCTGTGTTATGGCTCCGCTTGCCTGCCTTCCTCATAGGCAAAAGGCATCTCCCCAAAAGACACTCTGAGAGCCTCAGTTGGAATCCAAACTGACCCCAGGGCCCCAGCTGTCCCCATTTCTTGATCTCTTGACTGCCATCCTCCAAGAAGCAGAGCGCTATGCCTGCCCTGCCTATCTCCTGTCTCCAGGCAGAACTGCATGTGGGCTCCCCCTTGTTCTAAGACACAGGGAGAGAGCCTACCATGGCCTCCTCAGGGTGGTTCCTGCTGTGGGACCTGCCCCTTCGCAGGTACAGTTCTTGTCTCACATATACATAGGAGACTGTTTCTATCTTGTCTGTGTCCCAGCCCTTCATGGTTCTGAAGATGACTACTCTGTCCTGGCTTAGGATGTTTCCTAGAACTAGGCTGTTTATTCCAGAAACTTCTTTGGTAGTTGTGGCCAATTTCTCCATCCCTCCCCACCTTCTTGATAATGGGTGGAGTCCTAGCGTCCTTGGTTAGTTTCTGTTGGGGGTGGAGCTAATGTTACTGTACCTGCTAATAAAACAGCTTCTTTGAACTAGGTGGGATACTGAGAGGTTTCCTGGGGCTCAGACTCCTTTTTGATTTATCCCTGAATTGTAGGTTCAGAGCTGCCCTTCTGCCAGTAGGGAAGTCAGGAATTCAGAAAGGAATGGCAGCCCCTCTACTGGGTGGTCCTGATCCTGGGAACTTAGGAGCCACTTATCTGATAGGAGATGGAACCTAAGTACCCTCTTTCTTTGTACTTGTCCCAAGTGTGGGCACTTGGCTGTGGGCAGAGAGAAAAGTTAGTTACAGGCAAAGTCTGCTGTGTAGAAAAGACCTAGGGGAAGTGTTTAGCCCCCAGCTTCTGCCTGGAGAAGGCAGGGCTAGTATGTCAAATGAGCTGGCTGCTTGCTCCCCAGTGCTCTAGCCAATGCTGAGACTGCAGTGGCTTTGTGGTTTAAAAGTAAAACCAACACAAATAGAGATGTATACACAGAGGAGTATGAAGTCACTCTGCTACTGCACTCGGCCTGGTTGAATGCTCTGAAAGCCTGAGGCAAGCATGGGTTCTACCAGTGAAAGGGGGAGAGAATAAAGCAAAGCCAGTATAGAGAAGGGCTAGAGAGGTTTAAGCTCGTCCTCCAAGGGAAGGGTCAAAAATGTGGAAGCACCCGGCGGGAGAAAGGCAAAGCTGAATAAAGAACAAAATTCAGTTAAATGGGTATCTGTTGAAAATCAGTATATGCTAGCTATATGCTAGATCTAGCCAAGGACAGAGAGACATCTAACTTGAGGAACTGAAATTTGCTACATCTTTTAAGTGCCACATGAAACAATTGGAATGAACAGACCATGAAGGCTTAGTTGCTGAGCTGAGGGCTCCAAACTGTTATAGGAGCTTATCAAAGGGAGTTTCTTTTGGGTTAAACTAGTTGGAGAAGGCTTTGGGGAGGAGATGGAACTTGGGCCAGGCCTAAAAGCCTACTTGTGGTTGGGTTGAGTGGAAACTGAAGAGCATTCCAGGTAGAAGGGAGGGCACGAACACAGGTGTGGAGGTGGGAATGCCAATAGAATATTCAGGGGACCAAGGAGATGACCTTGGCTGTGAGTGATCGGTCACAGGGTTGTGGCAGGACACCGTGGAGGAGTGGAGGCTACAGCTGAAGTGGAGGAGCTGTGGCTCAGTTGAGAAAGCATATCACATGGAAGAAGGTAGAAAGAGAAGAGCGAGGATGAGGAAATGAGGCTTGGATAACATCTATGTTTAGGGGTGGGAAAAGACTAGTGCCAGCAAGGAGCTGGAACATGCGGGCCTGAGAGGGCCAGACAGAACAAGCAGAGCCTTGCTGCAGAGACCAGGGGAAGAGACAGTGTTAAGAGGGAGAAGTCATGAGTGCTGCAGGCTGCATGAGATGATAGTGAACATGGCTAGAAAGGAGACTCTGGGAGTTTATGGGTCTAGTAAGCCTTCAGGGAGCAGGTCCTGAGGAGTAGTGGTGGCAGAAGTCAACCAACCAAGCCCCAGAATCAAATTGGGGGTCAGGGTCAGGTAGGGACAGGTCATGCCTGATTACTCATTAGAAAAGCTTTTCCAAGAAAGGACCAGAACTAGATAGTGCCAGACTGTGACTTTATGCAGAAGGAGGAGAAGTTAGAGCATTTAGTCTCTGAAATTAGTCAGTCAGTCATTGCCATTGAGTTGGAACCAACTCATAATTGACGATCCCCCAACAGGTTTGTAAAGCCATAAATCCCATGGGAGATTGGATTGCCCATCTTTCTCCCAGGGAGCCACTGATAGGTTCATACCGCCAGAGAAGTGTGATCTTTGGGTTAGCAGTGCAAATCCCTACAGACAATGACACTCTAACTCAGAACTCATTGCCATCGAGTCAGAACTGACTGCTAGTTGGCCCTCCAGTGGGGTATTCAGAGGCTATACTTTACAGAGGAGGGGAGTGCCCATCTTGTTGCCTAAGAGCAGCTGGGGGATCCAAGCCTGCCTTTGGGTTGGCAATGCAACCCACTCACTTTAATCTCTAAAAGGAGAGGATAAATTGAGGAAACACCTTTCCTTGACTTAACCATTATTGAGTATACCATGTGCCAGGCAGAAACATCAGGAGCTGACAGTATAGTGATAAACAAATAGGTCCAGTTCCTATCTTACAGTCCAGTGGGGAACACAACAAATAACATATAAATGAATTAGAAGACAAAATGACGATGGCTGATGTCAAGTGCTTTTAACACATTGCCGCAAATGTCGGTTATACATGGGGGGCGGGAGGGAGTTTTTCTAAGCACGGTTGTCAATTTAAAAGTGTGCAGCAACGTGTTAAAGGAGTTAATAGGGAGATCTGATTGAGGGAATTGAGGGAAGGCCTTTAAATGAGATGGATCCATGGAAGAACCTGGAAGGGTATTCCTGGCAGAGGGAACCACGAGTGCAGAGGCCTTGAGGCAGAGAGCAGTTGTTATGTTTGAGGAACAGAAAGGGAGAGATGCTGACATGCAAAGGCTTAAGTATCTCAAGGCCTTGTAGTACAATGGGAAATCCTCTACGGCTGGGGCTGGAAATTTTGAGCTGGAGATGATGTGATATCATAACCTTTCTATAAAGTCATACTGGCTACCCTGGAGAGATGCAGTCCCAGTGGCTCCAGAGGAGCAGTGATAGACCAGTGAGGCAGTGAAGTGTAGGGGTTCAGATGGAAAACCACATTACTTGATCAGAAAGACCAGCTTACACCGGGCAGAGATGGAGGAAGTGGATGAATCCGTTGTCCTCTCAAAGTGGTGTCATCATGGAGCTTTTGAGGATGCAGTTGGGCGTGTGTCAGTTTTGAAGACTGGAAACACTATACATTGTGAAGGTGGACTGAATGTGTTATGTGGGGTGGAGTGGAATACAGGGTTCTAAGGCCCAGACTGGCTCAGCCTCTGTTGTGGATTTGACTGAATCTAAGCTGTACTAATTGGTCGTGTCTCCAGCTCATCATCCATGGCAGCTTCGCCCTGATTCAGATGCCCCGTTTCCATCTCTTCTTCCTCGCCCCGGCACTCATCTATGGGGCAGACAAGCTGGTGAGCCTGAGCCGGAAGAAAGTGGAGATCAGTGTGGTGAAGGCTGAGTTGCTGCCCTCAGGTACCAGCTTGGTGGCTTTCAGGGGACCGCTGAAGATGCTGACAGGACAAGGGCAGGGCCTGGAGCACAAAATCTTCTGACCTTGACTCAGTGGAGGTAGTATAAGTGCTTAGGGTGACAGAACTGGGAGAGCTGGGGACCTGAGTGTCTCTCTTACAACAGAAAGAGGAGGAGCCCAGGCCAGGCTGTGTGGGACTGGTCTATGGGGTATAATGGATCTTGGTTCACAGAGGCTTCTCCTTCTATGATTTAGAAGTAGGGCAGAGCTTAGACTTTAGGTGGGCGACCTCTCTGGAAGTCATATTATTGTTAAGTTCAGAGCAAGGGCCTTTTATCTGTCCCCTCCCTGCCCAGGAGTGACCCACTTGCAGTTTCAGCGACCTCAAGGTTTTGAGTACAAGTCAGGGCAGTGGGTGCGGATCGCCTGCCTGGCCCTCGGGACCACCGAGTACCACCCCTTTACACTCACCTCTGCACCCCATGAGGACACGCTCAGCCTGCACATCCGAGCAGCAGGGCCCTGGACTACCCGCCTCAGGGAGATCTACGCATCCCCAATGGGTGATGGCAGCGCCAGATACCCAAAGGTGCCCAGACCCACACCTGCTGTTCCACGTGGTCCCACATCCCCTTAGCTGACTTTGGCTCTGCAGCACGAGATTCCCCCACTCTCCCACCCCTCCTCCATCCATAGCTGGTTGTTCCTATTAATAGCACAGGTGTCTTCCTTCTCCCTACTCCACAAAGCTGGGTCAGGCTAGCAGGGGTCTAAGATATCATTTTTTCCCTTTCTTTGCCTCACTTTACGCTTCAGAGTGAGAACAGTGACTAATCTTAACCCAAACTCACCCTCTTTCATCCAGCTATACCTCGATGGACCATTTGGAGAAGGCCATCAAGAGTGGCATAAGTTTGAGGTGTCAGTACTGGTGGGAGGGGGCATTGGGGTCACCCCCTTTGCCTCCATCCTCAAAGACCTGGTCTTCAAGTCATCTGTCAGCTGCCAAGTGTTCTGTAAGAAGGTGAGTAAGTACCCCTTCTTCCCACCAGTCATGACCTCCTCCTCCCTGTCACTGTACCTATCTGTCCCTCTCTCCTGCCTCCTTGATCTGGGTAAGGACAAAAGCTGAAACCCACGGCAGGGCAGGATAATCACGGATCCCGTAAGGACAGTTGGTTCCTAGATCCCTCAGGGCTCCTGGCTAGCTCCCAAAGGCTCACTCTCAAACATGGGTGCCCCACCTAAAATTTGTTTCTGGGAAGTCTAAGCAGGACTAGAGAGAGGTAAAAAACCTCATTTCTTATTACAGAAGAGACCAGCATTTGAGAGTGTTGTTGGTCTGGATTTTGGTAGAGGGAAGGGCAGGCTTAGGGTGGGGCACTAGTGAAACTGGCTTGACTCTCAAGAGGAAGAGGAGAGGAGGTGGCAAGGCAGGGCCAGTGGGCTGGGCTGGCCACGGGGACACAGCCCAGGCCTTCAGGCCCCCTCCACACTGTCCTTTCACCTCATCCAGGACCTGGTGGCAGGCCCCTGCTCGCCTCTCTGGGCCTGGCAGGTGATTCGGGGTGCAGGAATGCAGCAGGCAGAGGCCTGGCCCAAGTGCTGTCAGCACTCAAAGTGACAGGCAGCTCCTCACCTCCAAGTGTCTGTCAGCTCTGCCTCTGTTTCTCCCCCTCAAAGGCAGGAGGTGCCAATCTACCTGGAGTGAGGTATCAAGGCAGCATTTACACCCTAGTTTCTATCACACCCCATCCCCGTCCTGAGGCTCCTCAGAAATGTCTCTCATCTGGGTCCTCTGCCTGTGGGCAGCCTCTACAGGAGGGGCCAGCAATTTGGGAAGCACTTCCCATTGGTAATAGGCCTGCAACTGACAATCACCAAGGGCTTTTTCTCACTTGTCCCAGGCTAGCTCTCACTCCCACCTCTCCATGCTCTGGGAGAGCTCTATCTCCTGCTCCAGAATGTAGCCCGCTGGCACCATACTCTCTCTCCACGGTTGTTTTTTTTGGGGGTGGGGGTGGGGGGGAGAAGCATATGTTTTACTGTAGTCAGGAGGGTTTTTATCCTCAGAATATAGACACTCCGAAGGTGAGTTACCTGGGCTGAGATGGGTCCCCATCATGAGCCATGTGTCCCCAGATCTACTTCATCTGGGTGACACGGACCCAGCGGCAGTTCGAGTGGCTGGCTGACATCATCCGGGAGGTGGAGGAGAATGATCGGCAGGACCTGGTATCAGTGCACATCTACATCACCCAGCTGGCGGAGAAGTTCGACCTCAGGACCACCATGCTGGTATGTCGGGGTCAGCCAGGCAGGGCAGTTCCATGGGTAGGACTGGTAGGGTAAAGCAGATGGCCTTGGTGGGTGGGTTGACAGGGAGTAGTTTGATCAAGTAGTTTGACCAGTTATCAAGCAGCAGAGCTGGTGACTCTGATCCTCAGTCTCTAGCTACATCACCCCACACCCCACCCCCATCTCTCATGAGCTGTGTGTGGGGTCTGGCTAGATACTGACCTTGGTTGTGCCTGGTTGACCTGCCCCTGCACCCCCAGTACATCTGTGAGCGGCACTTCCAGAAGGTCCTGAACCGGAGCCTGTTCACTGGTCTCCGCTCTGTCACCCACTTTGGCCGTCCGCCCTTCGAGCCCTTCTTCAACTCACTACAGGAAGTCCACCCACAGGTTAGTCCTTCCTTCATCCTCACATTCTCTTCACTTTATCATCTGCAGTCCAAGCAAAGCTCAGGGAAGAAATAGGCTATGAGAGCTGAATTGAGACCAGAATAGAAAAAGCTAGATGGGGGTCACCCTGAAGGATTAAGGGATTCAACAGTGGGTAGGGACATGCCACCTCTGAAGCCGTGACGCCTTCAGAAGGAAGAGTTCAGTGGCTGAGCTAGTCCAGGTCATAAACCAGAGCTACTCTTCACCATTAATTCTGTATCAACCTCACCCTAGACACTAAGCTAATTACCATAAGCATTGGGCTTTTCACTAGTCTCATAAATACAGTGCTGGATCTTAGTGAGACACTGAGTTGTCCCTCAGCTTGCACACTGATTCACCTGGCCCTATCAGGAATGCTTATCCAACACTCTCCAAAAAAGAGCCTGCTTTGTTAACACTGAGCCGGTTATCCTGAATACTAAGTGAACCTCCACCATGGACTCTTCTGTTCTTCAACAGGGCTATGAACACTGAGCTAGCCCTCCTTCTGAAAACCAAGCCAGCCTTCATTTCATCCTCTCACAACAGGTTCAGAAGATTGGGGTGTTTAGCTGTGGCCCCCCAGGCATGACTAAGAATGTGGAAAAAGCCTGTCAGCTCATCAATAAGCAGGACCGGACTCATTTCTCCCATCACTATGAGAACTTCTAGGCCTCCTGTGCAGGCCTCTGCCTACTCTCGAAGCAAGCACAGATGCATGCTCACACCTTATTTCTATACTTCCTGTTTCTGGCTGCTGCTTCAGCCTTTCCCCCTTCCCATATCCCAACCTTGGTCCAAGTAGCTATGGTCTCAGTCTGGAGAATGCATCTCAGTTTGGAGAAGTTTGGGGAATAGGGAGAGGATGCCTGTAGTTTGAGAGGTGAGAAGGCAAAGTTAAGCCTATTCCAGACTAAGAAAAACAAGAAACTCAAAACACTTGAGCTGATCTGTGTGTGTGTGTGTGTGTCTGTGAGCATAAGGATGAAGAAGGATGGAAGCACAGATGCTGGCATCTTAGAGCCTCCTACCCCAAAACCGTTCCCTCATTTGGGCTCCCTATTTTCAAAATGGCTAGAAATTGCCTTGGAAAGTATAGAAGCTGGACCCACAATGTATAGGAACCCCTTCAGCACTTTACTCTTAATGTTACACTAGTTTTCCTAAGTTGTTTTTTTTTAATGTAGTCAGACCCTAGCCCAGTACTCATCTATGCCATTTTCTTCTACCCTTCACTTCCCTCCCCATCCCGTCTCTAAGCCTTCTTTACAAATAAATCACCTTTCTGATCTCAGAGTTTATTTCTTTTGCCCCAGGATGGGGTGGAGCACTAGCAGAAGAGGCCACTCACCTGCCAGCTCACTAAGGCTGGTCCAGACATACACTCCACACCCTCCAGGTATCCACTGATTCAAGGGCCTCTCCCCCTGGGACCGCCTTCCTAATAAAAGGCCTCTCAGAGCGAGGCTATTGTAGTCCACTGGGTGGGAGGCACAGAGGGCATACAGTGGGTTCTGGAAGAGGTAGGCTGGGTGTGAAGGGCAGGATACAGCTTGGTGAGCCAGTCTGCCTGGTTTAATACAGGATCTTGGTTACTCTGTTCGTCTCTGGACAATGGGAGAGCTAGGCACCTGCTCCTAACATGAGTCTTCTAGGTAGAGGTGAACCTCTTTGTGTTTTCTTCAGCAACATGGACTACATTAAAAGGTAGGGCAACTTCTGAGATAATTTCTCTAACAATATCCAATTTCAAGGATCCATTCTATTGTCTCCATAGAATTTGAACACCAGTCAGGTTATATATCCTTGGTTTGAGGAATGCAGACACTGGCTTATTATTGTTAAATGCCATCAAGTCGGATGGCGACTCTGTGATCCTCACCATCCCTGATACACTCAAGCCTGTTCCAGCCACTGTCAGTCCATCTCGCAGAGACTCCAAAATCCTTTGATTCACCCTACATTTGGGGGTTACACTTTCGGTTTCTTGGAAGAAGCCCTCACACTCTTCGCAGTAGAGTGAGGGGTCTATTCTCAGTGTTTGTTCTGTGGGCATTCATTGCAAGGAGTTTGTTCGGTTTGCCCTGGGGGAGGGCGAGCCCGAAATGGCCTTACAGCCTCTCTGCCCATTAGTCCCGTGGGCAGCGGCCGGACTTCAACAGGTTCCAGATGGAGATATGGATCTGATCCCACCAGGGTCGCGGGTGGTTTGTGGCCCTGCGTGTGCAGTTATGGGCGCTGCCAGCAGGGGACGCGCGCGGCCGACTCGTCATATTCGACCCAGTGCCTTGAGTCAAAGCCTATGAGGTCTTCTCAGGACGCTCATCTCTGGAGAGTCTGAGAAGAGGGGGCCGTGTAGCCCCCTCTCACTTCTTCTGGAAAGAAAAGGGACCCTGAGCCCCCGCCTACCACATTTCCCGCCTTCCCAGCACGCTGTTTCCCTCGTGGCAAGGCCACCGGCTCCCTCCCGCCTGGCGAGCTGCCTCTTTGTCTCTCCGCCGCCTCCCCTCCTCCCAGACAAATGGCTGTTGGCAGGAAATTGGAGGAGCTCCTAGGGAGCCGAGCGCAGCAGAACACAGGGAGGGGGCGCCTCACGGCCGCCGGGCTCAGGGTGCCTGCTGCCGGAGCGGAGGGCGATGGGGGATGTTTTGACATCTCATCAAAGAAAGAACTTGATGCTTCGAAAGTGCTTTTCACAGCCGCCCTGTGTCTGCTCCCGAGCTGATTTATAAACAGTCTGTGCTCGCTTAGCGGCTCCCTCCCCTGTGTGTGTGCAGGGGTGCGGGCGGTGCCGCAGGCGCGGACACGGCAGTGCCTGGCGGGGCTGCATTTATTTATTGCCTCTGGCTCAGAGCCGGAGCTGCTCCCGGACTGTACAAGTTCCCTCTGACCAGAGCCCTTCTCTCCCCACCCTTCAAAGCCGTCTCCTGCCCAGGGTTCTGCCTTACTCACCAATCCCTGTGCCAGACTCTGGGCAGAACTCTCTGGTAGCTGGGGTGGAGGTGGAGAAAAAGTCCCTCTCCACCTAGCTTAGACCCAGTAATGAGTGGGTAATAAAAGGGGTCCTCATCACCTCTGTGCTAGGGGTGTAAGGGACCTGGAGTAACCGATTCATAAACCCCTCAGGAGACCTAAGGCTTTCAAAGTCTCCTTCATCCCGAGGCCGTCCTTTCTCCCCAGAAATTTCTCTACCCCAGTTACAGCCACCTTTAACTTTACAGGTCCCACCCGTAACCTTTCCTCTTTAGAATAAATTAAGATCCTCCAACTCCCTCTGGATCCTAGGGAGAGAAAGGGAAAGAAGGGTTTCTGAGGTCGAGGTCCACAGCGCTGGGCCCAGGTCTGTCACCATGCTGGCCACACATCTATAGAGTCCGGATGGCCACAGGGTAGAGCAGGGACATGTGCTCAGCCCCCTTAATGGGCAGTTTGCGGCTGGCATAGTGGTGCACGATTTCAGGAACGCTGCTGAAGGGCGGGCTGTTCTGGCCCAGCACATACTTGTGTTCCTTTGTCCTCGAAAGCTTCATGTGCATGAAGCCCTGACTGCTCCTGAGAAGAGAGGGAACCCTAATAAGTGCGGGCTCCCTCCGGCACCCACCTTCCCCATGCAGCCATTCAGTGGCACACCCCTACCCCTTACCTCCACCCCACTTCACCTTCACTATGGCAAATGTGGCCCCAAACCCAGCTGCGAGTGGAAGGTGATAGGGATGGGCAGTCAGTCCAGAAAACCAAGAAGGGGTGAAGGGATATTTCTAATCAGGTAGCACTGGGCATTAACTGTGGCCAGGCCACTGGGTGTCCCAAGAATGTGTGTGTGTGGTGAGTGTGCAGGATGTGTGCAAGTGAGAGCTAGAGCAGCCTGCACACCCACCTCCTTGAGATGCAAGCACTCCTGCCCTCCAACCTGTGTGACCACAGCTAGTTTGTCCTCACCCTCCCGATCCATGCAGGACACCTGTCCCAGCTCCTGTTGCCTCAGGTGGAGCCACAGACACCTTAGGCAGGAAGATGAGTGGATAAATGTGGTAACTAAGCTAGTCTAAGGACCAGAAGTGGCTTAATTTGGAGAGATAAAATGTGGGGAGATAGGGACGGGGGAAATGTTCCAGTTGCTCTAGAAGCCCCCTTCCAAAATCTAGGCTCACCCAGATGCCTCTTCCTGGGGACATCCCTTCATCTTGCTATCTGGGCTTTGGGCCAAACTGCTTCTCCTCTCTCCCACCCTTTTGCTTGGGATGACATCATTGGTTCTCTGGCTGATTCCTTCCTTCAGAGAGCACATGCACCACTGCCTCCTCCCATTCCCTCTGCCACAATCCAAGAATCAACATCTGTAACTAGCCCTGCCCACAGACAGGACCTGAGGCTCAAGGCTGAGTGTGCAAGATAGGGCCGGCTCCTATGCCCAGGCACCCTCAGCCTTAGACAGTCTGGGGGTGGGTTATCAGGAGGGACAATTAATGTCCCAACCACTATGGCTTGGACTGCTAGTCTTCAATTATGAAGCTCACCCACAGGCAAGAGGGAAGTTGTATTTGTAGGAGGGCTGAAGGCTGAGCCCTGGTATGCTACGCTGCTGGCCAGAGCCCACTTGTGGGCAAGTATAGGCCTTAGAAGCTGATATGGGAGGTATGACTGAGAAGGCTGCCTCTATTCTGAGCTGCCTTCCTCCTGCCCTAGGACTCAGAGAGGTGAGGGTAGTCCTGCCTGGGCTCTAGGGGATCCTCCCAGGAGGCATTTTACTAGACCCAAAAGTGAGAAAAGGAGAAAGGGTGGGGAGATGAAGAGAGAAAGAAAGTGGGAGAAAAGGGCAGTCAAGCCCCTGACCCCACCCTTGTCCCCATAGGTTGAGGTGACCTGAAGCCACAGGTGCCCAGCAGCCTGCTAGGAGGCAGTCTGAGGGCTCCACGTGACCTTGATGCCCTGGGTGTCAGAGGTTCCTGAGGCTGAGTGTATGTGTGCTGGGGTGTGGGGCCATCCATTCATCTGCAGGTTTAAGATAATAACTATGGGAGAAAGTGATCACAGAGGCCCTGGGGGAAAGAAGCCTAGAGGCTATGGAGATAGGCCCCAGGGAGGTGGAAGTAGGAGGCAGTGAACAGTCAGCTTCCCCTGCGTGCACTATGCCAAGGCCCGGATCCAAGCCGATGGGCAGCAACATGGGTCCTCTCCAGTTGGAGAAACTCCCACTCAACATGGGGGACTCACCTCTTCAGAAAGCCACATACTTTCTTGGCCAAGAAGTGCAACAAGTGGTCAGTGCTCAGAGTTGGGAGCTGAAAACCCAGCTTCCCTCTGTACAGACCTCTGGGGCTGGGTGTGGTATCTGTGTTTTTATGACTTCTTGGGACAAAATCCCAAGGGTCCTTTAGGACACAACAGAGTCCTGCCCAAACTAGGGACTAAGCTGGGACGAGATGGGCTCAGGGCCTGCCTCTGGCAGGGCTTTTTGAAGAAGCTGTTTAATTACCAGTGAAAGCCCTTCCATTACCGAGAGAAGAGAAACCATAATTGTATTTCAGAGAAGCCATTTATATGCAAAAAAGGCTCTGGCAGACAGATGCTGGCGGGGCCAGATCAGTCTGGGCCTAGGCTGGAGCCCTCACTCAGGCCTGCCAAGCCTCTCTCAGGCCTGTCTCCCCCACTCCTTTTTTAAAAAACCTCAGGCTAAGGCAGGAGCCAGACCCCTGGCCTTGGCTAGTGCCAGGCTGTACCACACTAGATGAGAGGTGGGGCTGTGCAATAGAACAGTATAGAATGGTTTTCAAGAGCCAGACATGTACCTCTTTGAATCTACTTTTGGTCTAGAAGATACAGATCTACCTCACTGAGTGATTGTAGGTTTGGAGATGATGTAAATGCTGTCTGTACGTGGCAAATAAATCTTAACTGTAATTCTGAAGCAATGTTAATTTCTGAAGTTATATAAATCAAACTTGTGAGAAATCTTTCTGAAATGTTCCTTTTTAATAATTTATAGACTCTTAACTTATAAAGAGCTAAAAGTAATTTCAGAGATTTCAATGAACTCATTTTACAGATGGAGAAACCAAGGCCCAGGGTCGTTGTTTTGTGCCAGCAAGTCAATTCCGATTCACAGCAGCTCTGTGACAGTAGACCTGCCCCACAGGGTTCCTATGATGTATTCTTCATGGAGGCATACATATTATCAGATGTTTTCTCCCATGGAGCAATTAGTGGATTCAACTACTAATGGGTCACCAACCACTCTAGCTTAACCACTGGACCATCAGGGCTCTCTAACACTCAGAAAGGTTTCAGTGATTTGCCTAGGGTCATAGAGCTAATATTAAACCCAAGACTATATTATAGTCAAGGACTTTACCCATTATGTTTTAGTGAAGTAAAGTAATCACTACACCAATATATCTAGTCCCAAATTCCCACTGACCAAATGCTTGACTAAGGCCCTATGGGAATATAGTAGAAAGTGGTGGAGATGATCTAGTAGTAACTGTGGTGGAGTCAACCACTTTGACTGGCTGCCCCAAGTGAGTATAGGCTCTGCCAGAAATCCTTCACAGACCAGCTGCCAGCCACTAACACCCAGATCCTACAACCACTCTTCATATTGAATACGATCAACTTTGTGCCAACGGCCTGATCTTGTTTCCAGGACTCAGCTTCAATCTTACCCTGTAGACTTCCACATGAAAAGCTGCTTACTCCTCGCTTGTACTTCTAGAAAATCTTGGAGTTCCATTAGTAACGATGAAGATAATTCACTTAGCATTTAATGCCATGCTAACTGCTCCCATCTATTACTTGATTTACTCTTTCCCTATAAGATAGACAGTACCATGCCCCCATTTTATAAATAAGGAAACCAAGGCCTAGAGATGTTAAGTGGATCCCAAGGTCAGATGGAGCTCTGGAAGCCTACTGGTAAAGAGTTGTGCTACTAACTCCAAGACAAACAATTCAAATCCACCAGCTGCTCTGGGGGAGAAAGATGAGAGTAATCTTCTCCACTGCCATTTATAGCCTCTGAAAACCTGCTGGAGAGTTAGCTAGGAGTCAGTTCTGACTCCATAGCAAATAGTAACTCCAACAAGATCAGGTATCTCATAAATAATAGAATCCTTCCAAAGCTTCGTTCAACTGCTCACCCATGGCTACTACCACCAATGGACTCTGGGATCCTTGAAGGCGGGGCCTGATTCCCAGGTGCCTGGCAGTTGCTAGTGTTCATATAAACCTCACTGGAGGTGGGGGGGGGCACATCCAGCTTGGCTGAGCATGGGGAGAATGGTGGGACCCCCTACTGTTCCCCCCCCCAACCTGCAGATACCCACACTCACTTGAGGGAGAGAGAGAAGTCATTCTTGCTGGTCTCACTGTTGCGCACCAGGTAGCTGGCCTCTTTGCACAGCCGGAGCAGGTTCTCGGCATCTGTGCGGCTGATGGCCCCGTGGTACCATCTGAGGATAAGGGGGAGGGGGGACATCCTCTGCTGGATCCCTTTCCATCCGGGCCCACCCATTCTTGGTACACCCTGCAGGCAGGCCAGATCCAGAAGGGTAAGGGAGAAGGAGTCCCCAGCTGGACACAGACACTCACACCTGGTTTTCCAGAGGCAGTGCTGGGTCTGTCCACTCCCCCAGGGGGCTGCTGGGCTCCATGTTTAGGGGCTTGGCTGACTTGGGGTTCCCTGCAGAGAGTCGGGGAGGTAGTCGCCCCTTCTCCTCCCGGCCAGGTGACAGGCAGCTCTTCTCGGATCCTTCAAATTGGGCTGTGGGGAACACACCAGTCATGGACTCTGAGGACCCACAGGGAGAAAGCTCTATTGAATGGCCTCATCCTCATTTGCTACCAGCATCAAAAGGAGTCAAAAGAACATTCTGGAAGGGAAAGGCATGTGCCAGCCCTACTGGCTCTTGAAACATAACCCAGGTGAGGGAGGGGGAGCTGAGCTCTCCTGTGTCACACATGGCCTGCCAGTCCCCACACTGCAGGAGAGAGGAGAGCAGCAACACGAGAAACCACTTAAGCTTTTCCCTCTGCAGCAGCCAACTGCCTCTTCCTATTCCTTCCCCTCAGGGTGGCTTCAGTGCTGATAATATTGTTTCTTTCTCCTCCTCAGAGTTCATTACCGTTCTCCAAATCACCCTGCCAAGACATTCTGCAGAAATGACTTATCGATCTGAGAACAATTATTCGATTCCCCTTGGTGCCATCCTGACAGGCTAATCCTGCCCAAAGACGACAGTGGGCCTGGGCTCTCCCCCAAGGCCACTGCCCACAGGCTCCCCTCCTCCACTCGGGAGCCCAGCAGAGGCTGCTAGCTCTTCCTCCCTCCCTGATGAGGCCGGCCTGACAGCTGGGCCAGCCCAGGGCGAGGGCTGAACATACTCACAGGGGACACAGTGTCAGACTGTCCAATAAGCAAGGTAAGCACATGCTTATTTGTGCTTACTTACTCATCTCTAGTTTACATTTTCATATCTAAGATTCCCCTTCTAAGTATGGGCGGCATCTGTTTCTCTCCCCACCCCAAAGCACCTTATTGCCTGGCATCAAGGTTTCTTTTTCAAATTTCTCATCCATGATGGGCCAGAGTTCCCAAAAGGCATGGCAAGTGTGACTTTCCTGTGCTCACTTAATAATTTGTAGTGAGTAGTTTCACCTTTTTTTTCTCTTTGATGTGAAACACATTGAAATTACACTCAGTAAGTGAATCTCTACAGCTTAGTAAGTGAACAGAGGTCAGGCTCACCTTGCTTATTGGATAATTCACCCTGACACAGACTCTCTAGCTTCTGTCTCCAAAACACCTGCTCACATTCTGTTACAAACGTACAAACAGGTGTGTACATTAGTGTGCACACACACCGATGCACGCCCACACATACTTCTGGCAAAGTAAAAGGGGAGGAAGACTTCAGTGCCTTCTTTCCTCTCTTTAAGGGCACCTTCAGGGAGCTCTGCTGGCTGGGTGGTAAGGAGCTGTGCTGCCAAGCTAAAGGCACTAAGTATGAACCCACCAGCTGCTCCAGGGGAGAAAGATGGGCAATTTCCTCCCATGTGAGGTACAGCCTCTGAAAACCCACGGGAGCATCTGCTATGAGTCAATTCTGACTCCACAGCACAGTAATAACAGTAAGAACAACATAGGCACCTTGAAGACCTGAGCATCTGAAGTTCTCTTTTCCTCTGAGGAGTTGAGCACCAGCCCCACCTCAGCAGGGCCTGCACTGCTGAAGGACTTGGTCTGACAAAGTCTTACCCAAAGAAGTGAATGGAAAGTAGTGGATTTCATGGCGTGGTGGGAAAAATTGGGAAAGGTCTCCACAGAAGACATTCCTCTTCCACAGAACTGGGTAGAAATGTGCACTTTCTCTCTCTCCTCTTCTTCAGGACAAGAGGGATTCTTCCTGGGTTCTCCAAGCCTTTCCCCACCTCTACCCCCAGCCCATTTGGCCTAAGAGGTGAGAAGACATGTCACCCTGGCTAGAAGTGCCCACAGGACCCACCGCAGCTGTCCTCCAGGCTGGGCTCAGGGAGGGGTGAGGCTGGACCGGAGATGTCCCTGTCCCCATCTGGCAGGGAGGGGCTGCTGTCCAATTGTCCCACAGGCGGAGGCCAAGGTAGGTCTTTGATGACCTTAATGTCAACTGGAGACAGTAACAGAGGAGAAGAGAGACAGACAGAGACAGAGACAGAGAAAGGCAAAGATTGAGACATGAAAACCCAGAGCCAGGACACAGGACAGCCTAGAAAGAAGGTGGTGTAGAGGCAGAGGTAGGAGAAACTGGCAGATAAAAGAAGGGTCTTGTTCCACCAGGGTGTGCCTCCCTTTCATTTGATCTTACTAACATCACTGTCCAATGGGGCTGGGAGGAAGAGAAGGGCAAGCACCTCCTACCACTACCCCCAGACTCCGACGGCCTCCTGGTACCCTTGCCTCCCTTTTTTCTTTCTTCCTGTACCTGTGGGCATCTTTGGGCAGAGAGAATGGGACAGTCCAGCTTCAGCCTGTCCACAATACTCGGAATTGGAGGAAGGTGTGTTACTGGAATATGGCAACACTCATTCTACCCCCACCCCATCCTCAGCCTTGACAATTAGAAGAGTGATGCCACTGGCGGCTGCAGGACTGCTAACGAGGTTTCCTAATGACGAGCATAGATTTTCCCATTAAGCAATCCAAACAGTATTGATTCTCCAAGGAGACTTCTGGAGATAAACGGCTCATCCTCAATAGGATGCGCTTTACAGGAAGAAAATTAGAAGCCTGTGGTTTCCCAGTCTGGCTGCTAGGGTTGGGGGATGGGAAGAGCAAAGGGCTGGACCCATCTCCAGGATAGCCCCCTTTCCCCAAGAATGGGTGAGGGGGTCTTGGCTGCATGAATGAGGACTAACAGTATTGAAGTCCTTTCTGCATTCAATGAGTTGTGGAGGGTGGGCCGCAGGTGTCTAGGACCTAAAGCTCTGTCTGTACCCCAGGCTCTCACTCCACCTCACTGCAGACCACCAACATAGAAACATGGTGGACTCTAGGCCTGGGGTGGACACTGCTTTGGTTTCACACAGGGGACAGGGGAAATCTGATTGTATTCAGCAACCAGGGGACTTCTCATAGTCGCCCGTTCTCTGCCAGTTCATACTGCTCTTCAGACACCACCCTCCACAGGAACCAAGCACCAGGCCCTGCCTACCACTGGGAGACAACACCCTCAGATTGAGGGCGATTATCGCAAAAGGTTACACATACTGCTGTTTTCACTGCTTGGAGTTTAAAAGCCTTTTTTTTGTTAAGTGTAGTATTTAACATATGGCACAGTTATGATCATTTTATTATAAAATTTATTTTCAACTATACCCAGCCACCTCAAAGGCAGGTTTCTTGGCCTCCAATGGGTCATGATGCAGGAAAAAGCCTTCCCATGCCCAACATATGCTCGGCATCCACACTCACAACTGCCCATAGTACAGAACCCAACTCCACTTTCCTAGAGCCCAGCTTCTGGACCTACTCCCTGAACCTAACTCAGGGTCCTGGAGAGTTCTCAGAGCCCCAGAAGATTAGCCCTTTGCACCCAGGGACTCACCTGCAAAGGCTTTGGAAATCCGCTCCTTCTTCCACTCCCAGGGCTGGTCATATTCCTCAGGGGGCCGCTCATCATCCTCAGGCAGGCGGGATTCCCAGGGCCAGGGGGCCCCTTCACCCTCTGGGGTGGCTCCCTCTTCTTCTGGCTCATAGGGTGTGTCATACAGAGGCAGGGGCTGAGCTGCAGTCTCCTTGGAGCCCCGGATCTCTGACAGGCAGGAGAGGAGAGGCGAGGCATGAGCTGCCTGCCTCCACTAGTGGCAACTCTCTCTAGCAGTCAGCCAAGTTTCATTCCAAGGAGATGCTGCTGGCTCTAAGGGGAGCCCAGTAGCTATACATCATGTGTCCCTCACCCTCAAAACACCTTTAGAGTCACCAAAAGGATGGGACTCAAGGGATGCAGGGATAGACAGAGATCAGAATGACACACATACAAAAAGGGATTCTGCTGTGCCCAACATGAACTTGGGAGCTGAAGTTTACATACATTTAGGAAACTGAGTCAGGGTCCTGTCCTAGTCCATGTTCCCCTCGGAAGCCCAGCACCATTAAGCTCCCTGTTTTCCAAAAGACATGATTCTACAATCAGAAAGCCCTTTTCCCCTGTTTAGATACTGCTGACCACTCTCCCCTTAACAAGTTTCGTGAACTGTCTTCCTCTCTGATCACCCTTATTTGGTCTCTTTCCCTGGATCCTCTGCCTCTGTTCCCTAAAGCCAAGTCTTATCCATTTCTCTACACCCCTACTCCTTGGACTACTTGCTCAGTCCCATGGTACCTACTGCGTCTATATTTCTGGTCAAATGTTTCACTTTGACATCAAACTGCTTCAAACTCATTATCTTTCCTGTTGCTGTTGTTGTGCATCACTGAATCAGAAACCAACCCATAACTGACCCTCCAGTGGATTTTCAGAGGCAGCAATCACATGGGAGGAGACTGTCTGTCCTTCTCTCATGGAGCAGCTAGTGGTTTTGAACTGGGCTCCTTCAGAATTACAGTGCAGTTTCTTATCACTAAGCCACTAGAGCTATCCTATTCTCTTTCCTACTGGCCACAGTAAAAATCTAGTAAAAGCTATGAAAATACTCTCCAGGAAGATTTTCACATACAATCCCAGGGCTTCCACAAATCACACCGCTGTGACCAAAAAATGATAGCAACTCTCTAGATTTCTCCATTCTGTTCACCACAGTGTTTTCTCTGGAATTGGACTTCCTTTAGTTTTCAGATTTTATCTGTTTGTTGACAATACCTGATGCTTTTCATCCTCAACTCAAATCAAGGGTACTGGCGGAGTGGGGGGAAGGCTCCATTCCACTGGTTTATGTTGCCACAGGATATACAAATAATATTCCTAACAACTCTCCCTGGAAGAAGCGGGCAAAGGGGAGCAGAGGGCTGATAGCCATCCTACATTGCTCAAGCCTGAGTTGTTGCTGTTGTTGTTGTTGTTATGTGCCGTTGAGTCGCCTGCGACTCATAGCGACCCTATGTACAACTGCCCTAAACTCCGCTCTGTCCTGTGCCAATCGCACTGTCTCCGACACTCCCATCCCAATTATCCCAGTCACTGAATCAATCCACCTCATAGAGGGCCTTCCTCTCCTGCACCGTCCCTCCACCCTCCCAAGCATGAGGTCCCTCTCTAAGGACTGGTCTCTCCTTACAACATGTCCAAAGTATGCTAGATGGAGCCTCAGAATCCTTGCCTCCAAGGAGCCACCCGGTTTAACCCTTTCCAGGACAAATCTGTTTGTTTTCCTAGCAGTCCATGGTATTCTCAATACTCTTCTCCAGCACCACAGCCCAAAGGCATCAATTCTCCTTCTATCCTCCTTGGTCATTGTCCAACTCTCTGATGCATAACAAGTGATTGCAAAGACCATGGCCTGTATCAGACACACCTTAGTCTCCAGAGAGACACCATTGCTCTTCAGTACTTTGGAGAGGTCCTTAACAGCAGACTTTCCCATGGCAATGCGCCAAGACTGTTTGACTATGGAGCCAAGCAAACTAAAGCTGTGTACAATCTCAATCTCTTCACCATCCATCCTGATGCTGCCAATTGGTCCAGTGATGAGAATCTTTGTCTTCTTGACATTGAGCCTCAATCCATATTGTAGGCTGCAGTCCTTGACGCTCTGCAGCAGGCGCTTCAGGTCCTCTTCCGTTTCAGCAAACAGGATTGTGTCATCCGCAAAACGCAGATTGTTGATAAATCGTCCACCAATCTTGACCCCACATTTCTCCTCTTAGAGTCCAGCCTCCCGGATAATCTGTTCTGCATATAGGTTGAAAAGGTATGGAGATAGGATGCATCCCTGGCGTACGCCCTTCCCAATTTTGAACCATGCAGTGTTGCCTTGCTCTGTTCTGACGACTGCCTCCTGGTCCAAGTATAAGTTTCGCATTAGAACGATCAAGTGTTCTGGGATTCCCATTCTTCTCAGAGTCAACCATAGTTTGTTATGATCTACATAGTCAATTGCCTTTGCATAGTCAATGAAACACAGATAGACCTTCCTCTGGTATTTCCTGCTTTCAGCCAAGATCCATCTAACATCAGCTACAATATCTCTAGTACCATGACCCCTTCTAAACCCAGCCTGGACTTCTGGTAGCTCTCTGTTGATGTGCTGTTCCAGTCGTTTTTGGATAATCTTCAGCAAAATCTTGCTTGTATGTGAAATCAGTGAGGCCTGAGTAGGCAAGTTTAATTCTATGGCAATATATTAACAAGTTCACTGTGGTAACATAGCTAAGCAATGTGCTCTAATCAACTTTATCAGCAACAAAGCAGAGATTTCTATCTCCATCTGTTTCCTTATCCTATTTCTCCATTTCCCCCCCCAAGCTTAAGAGGAAAGGGGGAAAGTGTTAATTATTGATGCCCTTAAGCCTCCAACAATTGCCACCATAGCCTCTTTACTTATCTTTCTGATATCTATTTTTTTAAAATTCAATCTTTTATGCACACCAAAACCACAGTAATTCTCTTAGAATGCCATATTTGTTCTGCTTCTCTCTTGTTCAGGAACCCCTCATGCTTCCTCTCTCATTTTGGGATAAGTACAAACACCTTATTCCCACCTTTAAGGCCTTTCCATTGTCCTACATGGCCTCCTGTTATCTTGACTCCTATATATACTCAGAACCAACACTATCTGTCCCTGAACAAATCCTCCTCTCATTCCTGCCTTGGGTTTTGGCTGCCTTGCCTTTCTCTCTAATCACCCTCATTTGACTTCTTTGCCTAGATCTTCTCTTGTCTCTGTTCCCCAAGCCAAGTCTTACTCATTTCTTCCTACCTTCTCTCCTTGATTTCTCCACTCAATCTCACAGCATCTATTGTATCTTTATTTCTAGTCTTACGTTTTTTGATTGCTATAAAGATGTCGCACTTTGATATTATATACTTTTAAACTTACCAACTTCCCCAAAGCTGGCGATTTTCTTTTGCGATCATTGAATACCAACTCATACTGCTCTCTTGCCCTTCCTGATTATCCCCAGTGTTTCTCTCTGACCCTTGGTACAGTGGCTTTCCCTAGTGCCTCAGATCTCAGGAGTCACAAGCCACAGCTCCTTAACCAAAAAAGCCCGAGTGTCCTGAAGGCAATGGTCAGCCTCCCCAAGGGCACAGCAAAGATTTTCACCACATGTGCAAGAGGCGAAAGATCAAGGAATGGACCTTTACCCTCGTGGGTCCCAGAATTTGTTCTGCAGATCCCAGTCCTCAGAGAATACTTCCCCTGACTCCATCACTCACCAGCCATCATCTTTTGGGCTTCGTAGGGTTCCATGTACCCATCATTTTCAGGGATCTTTTCTGGGGCTCCTGAAGCTCCTGCTGGGCCTTCGCCAGTCTCCTGAACATCAAATGGGTCCGCATAATCTTCTAGGATTGCCAGCTGTGGGATGAGTACGAAGACAGAGGGTATCACACATCTGAAAGAGCACTCTGCTTGCCCCTAAATGCCCTGTTCACATAAGCAAGGGTCATGGGCAGGCTGCCTTACACCCACAGTCCCATATACCCAAAGGCAGGGCCTGAGCTTGAATGGGAACAAACCTTGGCTCTTCTTGAAAGACTCCCACCATGCTGCCAAACAAATTCTACATTTTTCTTTCCTGTTAATTTTGTCTCTGGGCTATCCACTGGCTAAATGGCCGAGGTGAAGCTACTGAGACTTAAGGCCTGCCTTGGTCAGTACCTTTCAGGTAGGTGAGCAGAAGAAATTAATTCAAATAACTGGTTGTAAAGATGTTAGAAGAGCTCAATGAGCAAGCAGGAAATGATAAGGCAATCTAGAGATGAGACTTTTCTACCAGTGTGTTCCCCAATGTGATCCAATAATTACTTGCTGACCGTCAAGGAAGAATAGGTTGAACACTGTGTCAGTTCTATCATTTACCCCTACAGCATCCCTTTCAAACAGGTATTATTATCCCCCCTTTAAAGAAACGGAGGTTTAGGGTAACTATAATACAATATGCCCAAGATCATTCCACATAAACAGAGGCACCAGGACTGGGACCTCAAAATTATACTACCACCAGTGGATATCCTGACTGCCCTGGAAGAGAGAATCTTGGGATAACCCTGAAGAAAGTCAGGGCTTGGGGGCTCTGCTGACATCTCCTTGGTTCCAGGAAGAGAGGGACAGGAAAGGCCTCGCCTCAGTCTTCCACTTCCCACGCTGCTCCTTTCTCCCACACAAGTGGCTCACAGCCACCCTTCCATCCTTGTTCCCAGTCAAAGCAGAGCAAACCACAAGCTGCACACCCTGGAGAGGAGCTCAAGGTGTTCAAGGCGTGGTGCAGCCGAGGACAATAGAGCCTTTCTCCAGGCTGGGCCCAGGCTCCTCCTGGGGTGGGCAGCAGAGGTGGAGGCAGAGCCCAACCCACCCTGGGGTGCCAGCACCTTGGGAAGCACTGTGCCATTGGGCTGACAGGTGATGACAGGAGGTGGCTGGTTCCAGGGCCTGTGGCATGAGGAGGGTCCACACTTGCCTTTCTCCGAATTCCTGTCTAGGGTTTCGTTCTGAACAGGGTCAGAGCTGCGGGAGCCAGCTGGGCTGTGATGACATGGAGGTGCCAGCTTTGCCTTTGATTTAGAGGATTTGAGGATGAGGGACCTGTCCTCAGTAAGGCAGAGGTGGAAAAAGGCCCATCCCACCTTAGAAACCCCTTCTTCATATTCCAAGGACTCCTGATTGCCCCTGCAGAACAGAAATGTTCCAGTGGCACCTACCACCTCATCCTCAGGTCAGTCCTTCAACTCCCACCTTGGCCCAGTCAAGCCCTTCAGCCCCTTTACCTCCTTAGCATCTCGACCTGCAGTTAAAATGCCCACTTCCCACCCCCCAAACTACCATCACATCCTGAACATTCACCATCCTGGGGTCTCACTGACATTTTCGTCTCTGCATTCCAACACGCTCCAGGTTCACTGTGAGGCCTTGAAGTGTCTACCAGATCATCCAGGAGCCCTGGTGGCGCAACAGCTAAGACGTTGGCTGTGAACCAAAAGGCTGACGGGTGGCCCAAAGGCACTTGCTAATAATAATGATCCAAACCTACAAAACTGACCCATAGAAGAAAGGCCTGGAGAGCTGCTTCAGTAGAGATGACAAAAAGCAAACTAAACAACAAAAACGGAACTCTATGGGGCAGTCCCTCTCTGTTACCCTTAGGGTCACCATGAGCTGGAATCAGCTTGGCAGCACCCAACATCTAGACCCTTCACCTATCTCCCCTTGGCGACCTCAACCCCTAGTCCTTCCTGGAAGTAGAGAAAAGAAATTCACTCACTCCACGCCAAGCCTTTGTTTCCAGGCCACCTGGCACTCAGAGCCTCACCCACTTTGAGCAAGGAGGCTGGGGAGACAGCCACTGTTAATTCTGTAAGCCCCAGTCTTGTACTCACACTGGGCAGCTATGAAACGAACAGTAACTGAATTAACTGACATGTTATCTTTAAGCTTTGCAATAGCTCTTCAGTGCTTTGAAGAAAGTCCAAAGCTAAAAAGATTGAAAAGATCTCACCTTCCTCTTTGGTTTTTCCCTACCCACCTTGGTCAGTTTTCTGAAGGCTTTATGCTCTTTCTTGCCTCACAGACCATCTTTCTGCCTGGATCTCTCACCCCTTCCTCTTGAATGGACAAACTTTTAAGGATTCTTGCTCTGTTCTCTCCTTTGAAAGATTTTTTCTGACTCCACACAAGGCTTGGTTAGGTGTCTTAGTCTAGGCTATTACCACATTGTGTGGTAAATACTTATTTAATTGTCTGTCTTTCAGATGACTGTGAACACCCTGAGGGCAGGATTCATGTTTGCTGCTAAATTCTCAGGGCCAAAAAGCCAGAGTAAATATCTGTTAAATCAGTTCACACACAAGAGGAAGGCTGTTTAAAGGAAGCACTTTCCCAGTTCCTTTAGTAGAGCAGGAAGTGTAACGCCTTTGTGAGATGGAAGCACTCACAAGAAGATTGATTACTTTTCTCCCCCAAGTAAACCTCTGCCCCCAGGAGCTGCTCAGTGGACTATGTAACTCAAACCCACAGCCCCAGGAGCCCAAGGTGGCCCCCACCCTGACTCTAGGGATTCTCCAGCTCCTCAAAAGAGCTTGATCTGAACTGCAAGCAATTCCCTTCCCACCAGAATCCCAGCCTGTACCAAAGCTATGATTCAGCAAGGGCCTCCTCAGTCCTAACCTGTGAAGCCCATGGTGCTCACAGATGGCACTCAGGTGGCAGATGTCCTGGCAACTCAATGGCTCCTCTGTTCCACTCCTGGCTCCACACCCAGCTCCAGGAAGCCCCAGCCCCACTCTCTAGGATAAAGCCACCCATGGGATGGGAACGAGGAGTAGCGGCTGGGAAGGCTGGCAGAGTAGGTGCCCAATTTGGCTTCAAAGCCATTTGAGGAAGCAAAACTGAACAGTGGAAGTTAAGTGTCTCAATAAGCTTTTGACAACCTTTGACTTGCCATGAGATGTTATATCGCTTATGGTTTCTCTCCCCTCTCATGTGTTCACTGCCGAACCCTATGTCCATCACAGGACCCCAGTGCTCCATGCATATTTAGATGCATATTTACCGGATACATGAAAGGGCTCCTTATCTCCAAACTCATCATCCAGAGTGACCTGACTCTCAGATCAGTACTCCAACTGACCCCTGAGAATCCTGGGTTCTCTGGGTAATTTACATCTGAATAGTGATCAAAGCTCAAGGGCAGAAAGGAGGAAATGTCAGCAAAGGACCTTCAAGGAAAGTCATCTAAAACTAGGGTTCATATCTAGGTACACCCTCTGGTAAAGCAAGAATATTGCTGAAATACTTCCAAATTACTAAGCACAGAGCTGCTACCCAGGGAGTCCCCCGACACCCTGCCTCCTGCCAACCAGATGTCCCTCCACCCTGCAGTCCAGCAGGGGGCCTGCAGAACCCGGCTCTTGCATATGTTCCAATTGGTCAGTGCCCTTCCAAGAACAGATGCCATACTTAGAATATCCTTCTTTTCCCAGCTTCACCTTAGGTAGCTGGTGAGGCCCCACCATCTGGCTGGAGGTTGTCCACTCTGCACCAGGGCACGGAATGCAGGGGGCAAGAGGGAAGGGGGGACTGAACCTACAGACTAAGCTCCAAGGAGGCACAGGTTACAGGACAAGTCCTTACCCCTCCCCTCTACTAATTTAGTACATATAATGCCATTAAGCCCTTGGTTTTTTCATCTGCAGAATGGAGATGGTGACAGTACCCATCCTATAGGGCTGTAAAGAGGGCTTATGCATGTAAATGTTTTTCGCCCAGAGACTGGCATAGAGTCAGTGCTCAGTAACTGTTAACTCCAGATAGTTACATTGGGGCATTAGGGCCTCTCCTGTTTAGCTGCTTGCCTAGGGCACACTGCTTGTCAGCTGCAGAACTCTGGGAGATCTCCTTACTCCCAGTGCCTAGACCTAGATTCTCCTAATATTTGGGAAACAGCATGACATCTTCTGTCCTCCACTTGTAAATTTAAAATACACTTGAGCACGTTAGAAGCTCTAAGAAATCCTGCAGCAATGAAATCAGTCCAATTTCGTTTATGTCAGCATCTCTCAACGTATTTAGCCATCCTTTTCAACAGAAAATCTATTAACCTGTCACAGCTTGGGAAATGGTATACTATTTACATTCCCCAAGATTAAACTTTCTAGACCCACTGTCCCCACTTAGAGGAGCCCTAGGGGTAAAGGGAGTTCTGATGGCCTAGAGAATAAGAAGTTGTACTGCCAAACCAAAAGCAAGCTGTTCAAATCCACCAGTTCTCCTCCTATGTGATTTACAGCCTCTAGAAAACCTGTGGAAGGGTCAGCAATGAGTGACAGTGCAAATGAACAACAATGTATTTAAGACATTCAGCTACTAAACAAAAGGTTGGTAGTTTGAACCTACCACCTGTTTCATGAGGAAAAAGATGAGGCAGTCTGCACCTGTCAAGATTTACAGTCTTGAAAAGTAGAAATTATAAGCAATTTCTACTCTGTCCTACAGGGTTGCTATGAGTTGGTTGCTATGGTGGGTTTGGTTTTGGTGTGCTTCCCTTCTATTTTATATGTCAGGGAAACTCCTTTACATGAAACAAATTTGTTATCATCATTTATTAATTATAAAAGCAACATCTATCATGCTTATAAAACATTCAAACATCAGAGGCAAGCAACTGCTAGTACCTCCCTTAATAAGGTGAATCTGCAGCCAACCTGGGATTGAGTGGCAAGTACTGGCCCTCAACTCAGCATTAAACAGTCTGAATTCATTCTCTGAGAGACTCATCCCCTTCTTTGCAAGTGGACAATTAGGGAGCCCTTCCTCTCTATTGACACTGATGGTGGGTGCTCAGGCCTTTGGCATGGCACTTATTGCATCGAGGTACTCAGTAAACATCAACCATTATATTATTAAAGATGGCAATACCACAGTCCTGGGTCCTCTAGGAGCTCAGCAACACACACAAAATACGCTCCAAGAGAGTGAAGTGCCTTACGGTGCTGCAAAGCCCACAGGCTGAATGCAAGGCTATGCCTGTGTGGATACACTTCCAAACTCCCCACAAGCATTAATGCAGGCTCTGCCTCTGCTCTCAGGGCTTGCCCAGCCCAACCAGCTCCTCTCATCCTGAGTCCTCAGGGTCCCCGAGTACCAGGGCCAAAGGGTCAATGAGTCACTGGCCAAGCCAACAAACCACAGATTCAGAGGAGTGAATGTGCAGCATTAGTAGGCAGAGGTTGGTCAAGGGGACAGGTCTGCCTCCGCAGTCCATAGAGGCCTCAGCCATCTTTAAAGCACAATGGCAACACAGGAAAGTCAGCCCAAGGCCACAAGAGTGCCATGCAATGCTTCTCACTGCTTAAGACCAACCAGTCCACAAAGGACCTTAGACTCGTCTTTCTCTTCCCCAGGGTTCTCCCTCTGCTCCATCTCTATCAGACAACCTGTATGAATACAGATCAGACCTCCAGCTGTGTAAGTTAACTGAAGCAAAAATAAAGTAAGGACAAGGTCTTCCACATGGTATATCCTTTTTAGTGTCTAAGGCAGTGTGACATAATCACTCAGTGAATACTGGCTAAGAACAGTCCTATTGCGGCACCTCCTACCCACCCCCTTAACCCCAGAGAAGGCGTGTCTGTTCAATTTCAGACAGTCTATCTCTTCATTCTTCATTAGTTTCCAGATTTAGGCCCAGAGAAACCAAATCCAAGGTGATACTGTATCTGAGTACTTCTATTTTTTAAAGTTCTTAATATTCTGGAGGCCTATGAACCACTGTAAGAACCTGAGAGCTTTCATCCTGTTCCCAGAAAACTGTTCACACACACCCAGATGTCTATACAATTTCTGAAGTTTTACAAGTCCCAGGAACTGCTCCATCCATTCAGAACAAGAGTCCTGGTTTCTATATACAGTCCTTGAATGTCTCATTGTCTACAACACCACACACACATATCCTGGCATGATGAAGGCAAAAGACAGCCTGTGTAGATGCTCAGAGGCAGAGGCGGTCAGTCTAGACACTCATCCAATCAGGGTCCCTTCTTCAAAACCAACCCTTCTTATTAGATCAGATTTTTTTTTTCCTGATCAAGGGAGGAAAGCAAGGGAAGGCCCAGTTCTCCAGCTCCTTTGCCAGCGCGTGGTCTGGTGGCTGGACAAGGGCCCAGCCCCACGAAGGAGCTCTTCCTGCAGCCAGATGGCAAGGCCCCTGCCAGTTCGTTGCAGGGTGCGGCTCCTGCTGCTCCCACACCTGTCCTGCCAGGCCTGCCCAGATGGCCACCCTGACACCCCTGCCAACTAACTGCACCAATGGTTCTCATGCTGGGCTGGTGGCCAGAGATCTGGGTTGGGAGAAGGCTAATGGTCCTGAGTGGCTGCCATAGTGGAAGAGCCTGCTGGGTCTCTAGGGTCCAGTCCAGGTCCCTGTTCTCTCCTGCCTCTATACTTCCTGGGTCTCCTCAGTCTTATCATGGAAATGTTTCTACTGTTTCATCAAATCTCACAACCAAGCACCTCTCAGAAGGTTCTGATAAACCAATACCAGCCAATGGGCTCCAGGAGAAGGAGATTAGCAGGTTGCCACAAGGTACATTCCAGTCCCCAATCTCCATATTACACCTCAGGGGAGCCAAAAACACTGAGCCCAGAGAACCTACAGGGCTGAGAGGATGAAAAGGCGGCAGCCATACTGTACAGAAACACTGGTTCAGCATGGACTCAAGGCAGAGGCAGGGGTTAGCCTCATTATCTAGAGATAGTAGTGTCTCTGGGTGGGCTTTTCAGGCATGTACCACCCAGCAGGCCTGGACACACTGGATTTAATGTAAGTGGCTCAGGCACATTGTCTGAATTCTTCCCAGGGGAAGACTCCAAGACCCATGAGTTCCGCTCATACAGGATAGGAAGCTGCTTTCTGAATGGAGGGAGGCCTTAGGGCCAGCCCCTGGGCCAGCTGAGATGACATCCCCTTCCTACTCATCACACCCACTAAAGAAACCACAGATTGTGTGGCTCCTGGGAGATCCTGCTAGATTTCATTCCTGTCCCTACAGACGACAAAGGAGTCAGACATCAGGCCACCAAAGTCTGAACAGCCCACAGAGCACAGAGCCAGCCCAGGCTGAGGCATGGATGTGCACAGTGAGATGCAGCTGAGAGTCTCTACAGGACCTATGTGGGTACACACTGTCCTTGGGGATCTATGTGGAGAAATGTGCAGGAGGAGCTGTAGTTACAGGAGTCTCTGTCCCTCAGGCTGCCCTAGACAGCCACCATTCAGTACATATTTGCACACTCCACCTAAGAAGCAAGGATGGGAAAGCTTCGTCTCACGTACTTTGGGCATGTTGCGAGAAAGGGTGGAAAAGGACATTATGGTGGTGCATTATGGAAAGAAAAGACCCTCAATGAGATGGATTGACACAGTGACTGCAGCAACAGACTCAAGCATGTTGGAGATGACAAGGATGGCACAAAATAGGGCAGGGTTTAGATCTGTTGTGCACAGAGTCACTATGAGTTGTACTCGACTCAATGGCACATATCAACCACAACTTGATACAGTGCTACCATGTTGTGCTACCAACCAAAACGGCAGTGGTTTGAATCCAACAGCTGCTCCAAGGAAGACAGACAAGTAGTCTCCTCCTGTTAAGATCTATAGCTTCAGAAACTCAAAGGAAGCTCTAGGAATCAGAAGTGAATTGAAGGCAATGTGTTTTTGGTTTGATTCCTTATGCAAACATGTGTCAGAAACCTGGGGGAATACAGCCACCAGGAAGAAATGATCCTTGTCCTGGAGGAGCCCGTGGCTTGGTGGGCAGCTATTGGATAGAGAAGAGGGCTTGGGGTAGCTCAGGCCCATATACCAAGGGTCAACAGCCAGAAGATTAACTGATCAGTGTAAAACAAGGCACAAGACTGTCTTCCACCTCATTCCCATTATCAGCAGCACATTCAGCAGCACCCAACAATAGGGGCTAATTAATTAGGAGGGGCTCTAAGGATATGTGAAAAAAGCAGAGCCTTGAAAAAATGCCCTTTTGAACCTTCTTCCTGACCCAGAAGGGCAGCCATGCCCATGTCAGGAACCACAGGGAAAATAATTCACATTCCTGAGGCTTCTGCTCTGACCCTGACACATCTCTCTCATCCAGGAAACAGGGCAGAACAGCCCTCCCTGGCTGAACGCCTCAATCCAGGAGCCTGTAAATTCGGACAGTAACTTTGCTGTCCAAGCAAATGAAAAATAAAATCAGCTCCAGACCTTATGATCTCTTGGAGTGAGTTGAAGAAGGACAACAAACCAGGGATCCTGTGAAAGAATCACTGTCACAGAATTTAGAGGTAGAGTGGTCTAAGGATAGTGTTTGGCTGTCACACTGCCAGGGAGGGATAAGTTAGGGTGGAGGCAGGCTGTGAAGGAGGTGGGTGGGGGTTGGCTTTTCAATCAGGACCTCTGAGGCACCATGGGACACAAATGATGTTCCACTGTCCTCTTGACCCCAGTGCCTGCAGATCCAGAAAAGATGCAGTGAGGACCACGCAATAGACAGGAGGTGTGAGCTTAGCTACTTAGCCCTACCTGGGCAACAGGTCCTGAGCACTGGCCACCTCAAATCTGCCGGGCAACAGAATGGATGTAGGACTGGCCCCAGTGGTCAACATCCTTGGTGAAGAGCTGCTTACCTCCAGTGGTGGCCTTCTGAGAACAACAGCCCACTCCTCTTCAGTCCCCACCCCGGTAACGCAAAAGCCAGCTTTTGCTGTGTTCACTGGAAAAACCCAGCTTTCACCTCCTTTTCTGGAACTTCGGCACCTGTGCAGATGCTTGGGCTCCCAAAGGAGGAGGGGCGCTTTGTGCAGGCTTTGCCCTCGGGAACAGGGTGTCAGAGATCAAAGGGCACTGAGCTGCTGCTCTCAGAGGGCAAAGAGGCCATAAACCAGCAGGCAGAGGGGCATATCCCTCAATTCCCATTAGAAAACGGCTCACTGCCGGGGCTCCCACCAAGCCGCGATGCAGGAGTGGGGAGGGTCATCAGTTCTTAAGGGATGACTGGGGACAGGGGCACAGTTTGGGACTCCCCATCTCACACTGGGTCAACAATATGAACAAAGGTGGGCGAAGGCTCAGAGACCCAGGGTCAGGGACTAACCTCCTGTCCTCCAGGAGCCGTGACATCTAGCGGCCCAGCCCTGTCCAGGCCACCTTTGTCCCTCTCACGACCTCCGACCACCTCATCTCCGGCCGCCCCCTCCCTGCGCGCACTCACCCTGTCGCTGCTAGCGGGGGGTCCAGAGATCCGCTCCTCGGGAGGGGGTGCTGGGGGCCCAGGAGTCTCGACCCGAATGAGGCGATGGGGTGGCGAGCCGTGGCGTGGGGGTGGCGTGGGGCCGGGGGCAGCGGGAGTGGCGAGGGCCGTGGAGCCGGACGACCTCACCCCCAGGTAGGGGTCTTCGAAGTCGCGCTCCCGCTGCAGCCGGTAGGCTGCCAGGATGTCCGGGGGAGGCACGGGGGGCGCTGCCGGGGAGGATGCGGGGGAGCGGTAATCGGGCTCGGGGGGCGCCGGTTTGCCCCCTCCTCCGCCCCCGCCCCCTCCCCGGAACCCCAG